ACCAATAGCTGCAATATCATGATTGATTAGTTACTTTGGTAACTAGTAATTTTTTTTTTTTTTTTGCTAAGAATGTAAATATTTCATAAAATGAAAAATGTTTAGGTTTACAATCGATGATTATAATCCTAGAAAATGGTAACTAGTAAATTTAAATTAATGAAAAGCATGTAAGAAAAATATTTTTTGTTTCGACTAGCATGTTTTATTTTAAAAAACATAGTTCGCTATATATTATAAATATAGTATTTTATATGTTGGAAAATGGTTAAGATACGAAACAAATCAAATAAGATTGATAGGATGGTAATCTAAAAAATGAGCATTGCGTGAGTTGTTTATTTATTTATTTTTTAGTTCGTGGATTTTTTTTGGGTGTTTTTAGTCAACATTAGCATATATTCTAAATCAACATCTCTAAAGAATATTTTAAAGCAATATGATAAAATTTTGGATTACGTTGATGTATTGATTCGTGAACATTAATTTCGTCTTTATACAGAATATATCTTAGAGCAAAGGGAAAAATTAAAGCAATGGCATTCAAACACAAACTTTATCCTTTTGTAAAGAAATGCTTGTGCTTGGTAATTGGTAGACATGTTACATAGCGTGCACTCTAAGACCACCCACAGTGGGGTAATTTCTCGTTGGGTGTAAGTAATAAAATATAAGAAAATAAGGGAATAGTTAGTTTAGAGACGTAAGTCGAGTGTTATCCCACACCCGGGTGTGAGAGCCACGTGGGAGGATATTGTTGGTTAGGAATTTTTGACGGAGAGGATCTCATAAAAGTAGGCGCCTCTACCAATAATCAAGTCTATTAACTTTATTTCTAAACACAAACTCTTAGCTTTTTTTAAATATAAAACCGTCTTAACATATATCCCTTCGGTTATGCCTTTGCTGATGCTCTAAGTTAGAACTTTACAAGTTTATACACTGACTAATTAGCATTATGTGTCACTGCCGAAGTTTTAAATAAATAATGTTAGTTCTTAGTATAAAATTATACAATCTTTTACCAAAATAGAAATTTTAGAGTCAAATTCCTTGATTAATGCATTGCAACATAATTTTTGAGCCAGTTAATCATAAAATCAGGTTTAAAATCAATTACATATCCTTTTGTCACAAAAATACAGGTCGTCTTGCAAAAAGTACAATCTCCATGTCGCGTGTGCGAGAGAAATGTTAGTGGAGAATTGGCGAGAGCTGTACAAAGGACAAAATGGTAGAAGCATTGAACATAAGAGCCTGGCCTTAAAGAACACACTTGATCATCACCACCGTAGCAGCCGCAAAGGTAAAGTCCAGAAATGTTGCGAAATCGCCGGTATGGCCGTGCAATTCGTTATTTCCGCCATACTCGGGGATCCAACGACCCTAATTGCGGGAGTTGTAGGCTCCCTTATTTCTCGAGGATGATCCACTTCAAAGTATATCAGTTTGTGTGTTTAACCATCGTGTTATAAACTCTTGATTAGGAGAATGTGAGAGTTGATACATTAAAGTTTGATATATCCTATTAAGTTCCTTGTCCATAAACCAAAAACGTGTAATGTTAAATACAAAAGTATAATTAATTATGCAAGAGAGATTAGTAAAGTCTATTTTATCTGATTTAAACACTCAAATTTTCTTTCCGTAGATGAAATTTCTTCTCTATAATAAAAAATTTATAATTTTTTTTGTCGAACTTTTCAAAATTTATTTAAAAAATAAAATCTTAAGTTTGAAATATATACTTGTGTATATAAATAAGTGAAAATGAAAAAATCATGAGCGAGCCTGTAATAAGTTTTCATCTTACCTCTTTTAGGTAGCTGTTTTTCTCTATATTGCTCATCATTTCTTGGGATTTAGGTTGTAAAAGGGCCAAGATTATTAGTGGGAATAAAAGTGTTGGAAGTTAGAGTTATTTTTTAAATTAATCAAAAATATCATAATCTCTTTTTTATATAAACAATTAAACAAATATCATAATCTTAATACAATTTGTAAGACCCAAACTAGTATTCAAGATAATTAAGGTTTTAGAATGCACACTACTATGTTATTAAACCAAATCAAACGGAATTGAACAATGACAACAATTCATATTTAAATTATATTACAATCTCATTATATAATATATGATTTTAGGCAGAAGGCTTCATTTCAGCTTTAATGGCAGCAACAAGTTGATCATAAGCCTGACCCCAAGCCACCTTCATCTCCGGTGACCACATCTCCGGCACCGCCTCCTTTATTGTCTCCAACAATGCATACTTAGCCACCTGCAATCATAAATCATTTTTGGATTAAAAAAAAGATGCGATTAAAAAGATTTGTGTATGATATAAAACATATTGAGATATGAAAATTTGACTACTACTAACCTCAAAGTGTTCGTCAACGACACCGTATTTAGAATGGTTGGCTCCAAGTCTCTTTAAAGTAGTCTCCCTCACTGTAACTTTCCCTGTTTTCCTCAGTTGTGTTGCTGATTCACAACACTGATAAACCCAAGAACTCAAATTTTCAGTTCAAAGACATCAATCAAGAATCTTTGATTTGGATGTCTAAGCAAAATCATGTGTTATTATTTGATCATTGATTAGTTACCATGACAAAAACAGCCATCGCATGGGGCTTGAGCTTTGGGTTTTGCTCAGCAGGAATTGGTGAGTCTCTCAAGAACGAGAACATCTTCTTCGTTGTTGGTGCAATCTCAAAGATCCTATATTTCAAAAATAGTAGTTCATATCTAAGACAATACATAAAAAAATGCATACAAATATAGAGAGAGAACACTGGGATCATTAGTGCTTACTTGAGGAAGAGTTTGAGACCCAATTCAGCTGAGTTTTTCTTCATGACACTCCATGACTTCACTACAAGAGCCTCTTGCTCTTCTGTGAACACAATCTTTCCTTCACTCTCCATAATATTTCACAAGCTCTAAATGATTTGAGTATACAATTCTCTGTTTTGTAGATCTTACTCCAATTAGGTAAAGTGTCCTATATATAGGTTTTGATAAAGATCCTTTTGTGTTACCGAAGAGACAGTTCTTGATAAGCAAGTTTAAGATAAAGTTATCTGGTAAAAGAATGAAACTATGTGCTGTGTACTGTAATGGAACATAGTTTCTAATGGTAGGCTTGACTATTAGTCAAAACACTAAAGAAAAGTCTTTAGATCTCTTTATCTCATTATTTTACTTATTTATATATTGGCCAACAACACAAGTGGTGTAAGTTGGGATACATTGAATCTATTGATCAAATTAGCAGAACAGAGATTATACTACTCAAATTGATCTCTCCCTCTTCCAAATTATTTTCTGAGAAGCCGAAGTAAGAACAATACTTGTGAGAGTTATGTAGCACCATGAGGCTTTCACATCTAAGAGATTAAAGAAGGTTGAAACTTTACACACTGAATCCAGGCAATGGACATTACAGAGAAGGGTGTTTTTTTTCAAATTCAACCGTATCCGTAAGTTACATCGCGTTTCGCAACCACAGAGTCAAAGGGTATTTCGACTCTTTCCTTAACAAGGCACCGTGCTTCTCCGTCTTCTATTACAAGAACTTTCCCCGGTGGACATTGATTAGGTGTTTTCTTCCCTCTGACTGCTCGCTGCGGGAGAAGTCCCAGAAGTTTCAAGGGCACACCTCTTTTCCTCATCTCTGGACCATAACCAGATGCAGACAATATGGATATAGCACCGATAACTGGAAGCACAATCTTTGCAACAGAGCCTAAAAAGCGAATAACCCCATGACTCGAACCTCCAGATCCTCCGTTAGGACTTTTCGCATCTGCCTCATCGTTCCTCACATGTCCTGAGCCGAACCCATTTGCATCAGACTTCTTCTTGGAAGGTAAGTGAGAAAGGTAACCATTATTATTCTCTAAACCGAGCGAAAGAGGCGGATGGACAGGATACGGAGGAAGTAAAAGATCGTTCTCATAATCAACTCTTTCCCCAGCAAAAGTCGTAGTCTCGCGTAATACTTCAAAATCTTTCCCTTTGTATTCCTTAAGCTTCTCAAGCAACATCTTCCTACTGTAATCAATCTCAGAGAGAGCCACTTGCTTCTCATATTGTTGTCTTTGCCGTAGATTCTGTTCATCAACAGAATAAAGACAGTGAAACCAGTAACAAGACTTGAAGCAATTCCGACATTATAGACCAGACTTGAAGCAAATTCAGACTCAATTTCAATCAAAACCAGAACCTAACACTTTCAATCTACAATACTACACTAAAAGCCAGAAACTTGATTTCGATACATAAGAAGCAGAGGAAAATTAGGGTTTTATCAAACCTGTAAAGAAGCAAGCTGAGACTCAAGAGATTCAAGAGCATCACGAATACGCAAAAGACGTTCAGCTTCTGCTTCATCTACATCATTAGAGCTGATTGAGTCAAAATCCTTGTCTTGATTCCCAATTATCTCATCATTTCTTCTTTCTCCGGGAGAAATGTCATCGTTTCCGTCGCCGCCGCCGTTTTCGCTGACGGCGGTGCTTGAGCTATCGATACAATCGCTGATCTTGAGTCTAAGCTCGGTGGCTCTGGCTAAAATTAAGCCGATGCCTTCTTCGTCTTCCATCTCAGAGATTGAGGCTAGAGAAATTAGGGTTAGGGTTTTTGTAAGGTAGTAGTGGTGGGGAAGGGAAGAGAAGAGAAGAGACAAGTAATTTGGAGTGGATTTGTTTTGTGGTTGGCTTAACTCAGATTTTCAGATTTGTTTCTGCTGCTTTCCCGGTTTTAATCAACGGCCACAAAAATTCACTTTTTTTTAAATCAATTTTTTTATTTGGGAAAAGGAAAAAGAAATATGGTAGAGGCCAATTTTGGACTTAAACAAAGAAGACAAAACCTATCCCTTATATATTAATTGAGAAGCATTTTTAAAATATAACCTTACACTCATGTGTGATTAACGAAAATGCCATGCTGACGTGTCGTTCTCACAGAGCTTCTCAATCTATTTAGTTAAAGACCCAACATTTATTAGGATATTTACATATTTTGCCATTAGTTTTACTTATGTTTATTTTTTCTAATTAATTTATGCTTTTTATTTTTCTCAATTAAAACAAAAATACAATTAAAAATATGTAATTAAGAGATACAAATCTATACAAAATGAAGTACTTAATATTTTGTGTATCTATTAATATAACAAGATATATATTATAAATCATGATAAACATAAATGAAAATTTTCATTAATCTTGATAATCATTAATACACTACCGTTTATCTAACAATATAAAATTCGAACACCTTCAATATTATCAATATATTAAAATATATTTAATAATCGTTTTGTCCCGCACATAGTGCGGGATATTATCTAGTTATTTCTTACTACATAAAAGAATCTATGTACTGTTTTAAATGTAGACTTCTGTGTCAAAGAAAAAAGATGTAGACTTTAAGCTATTAGTAAAATATTTTTTTTTTGTAAAATATGTTTTATTGATTTAATTGGAAACAATATATTGTCACAATGTCAAATTTATTGAATTGGGAAAAATGTCATTTAATCTCTCAACTTTCAAAAAATGGTCATTTTATACATCAACTTCATATGTGGCCATTTAAAACATGAACTAAACGTTGACTAACGTTAGAGACATGGATTTTCGTTGACCAGGCCAAAATAGACATACCGTTATCAGTCGTTAACGGAACCTCTAACGTCCGTTATCACCCCTAACGACTCTGTTAGTCAACTTTCAAATTGTGGTCATTTTAAACATCAATTTCATATGTGACCATTTAAAACATGAACTAAACGTTGACTAACATTTGAAACATGAGAATTCGTTGACCAGGCCAAAATAGACATGTCGTCATCAGTCATCAGTCATCATGTCGTTAAAAGGCGACTAAATTTGCGACTATTGGTTTTAGCGACTAAATATTTACGACTATGGGTATTAGTCGTAACCTAGTCGTAATATCCAGTTTTACGACTAAGTAGTGACTATTGTCGTAGTCGTAAAACGACTGTTTTCTTGTAGTACCCATCATAGGACTAAATGGAGCTTTTCTGAAATAGGATATGAAAAGTCATTTTCTAGCTGCAGTTGGAAGAGATGGAGATAATAGGACTATTCGTCTTGTTTGAGTTGTTGTAGAAATAGATTTGGGGATTTGGAGTTTTCATTTGGGAAAAGTCCTGATTTCCTCTCGATTATCTTCAAAATGAAGTCGTTTTTAGACATACTAACAGAGTTGTTAACGGGTGATAACGAATGTTATAGGTTCTTTTAACGATTGATGATGACATGTCTATTTTGGCCTGGTCAACGAATTCTCATGTTTTAAATGTTAGTCAACATTTAGTTCATGTTTTAAATGGCCACATATGAAATTGATGTTTAAAATGGCCACAATTTGAAAGTTGACTAACAGAGTCGTTAGGGGTGATAACGGACGTTAGAGGTTCCGTTAACGACTGATAACGGTATGTCTGTTTTGGTCTGGTCAACGAAATTACATGTTTCAAACGTTAGTCAACGTTTTGTTCATGTTTTAAATGGCCACATATGAAGTTGATGTATAAAATAGCCATTTTCTTAATCAATTTTTAAATTTGGGAAAAGGAAAAAGAAATATGGTAGAGGCCAATTTTGGACTTAAACAAAAAAGACAAAACCTATTATTTCTTACTACATAAAAGAATTTATGTACTGTTTTAAATGTAGACTTCTGTGTCAAAGAAAAAAGATGTAGACTTTAAGCTATTAGTAAAATATTATTTTTTTGTAAAATATGTTTTATTGATTTAATTGGAAACAATATATTGTCACAATGTAAAACTTATTGAATTGTAATAGATAAAGCATTATTTAGTATCCTTTGTTTTGATAATGCAATTCGTTGGTGTGTTCGAAGCTCTAGCCACCCGGCCCACCCCCTCTCAATCTCAATTGTGTTTCTTTCAAACGATTTTTCCAAAGTCTCATTTCTTTAGCCAGGCTTTAAAGACAAAAGTTGATTTTTATTAAGTTTTATAAATTTTCAATTCAAAAGTAATTGGCAATAAGTGAATTGATTTATGTCTCTTATATACTACTTAATTTTCTTTCTATTTTATTTTATGTGTAGTTTTTTATTCACACGCTCCCTCGAGATAATGGTTTTTCTAACTATTCTCTATAGAATTCATCACGTTTTCTCGAAGTAATGATTTTTCTACCTATTTCGACGAAGCTGAGCCTTTCTTTGGACCATCAATTAATTAGGGTGATCGAGACACTTTTTAGGCCGGATTAGTGGCATAATGTGTGTTTGGACTTTGATACCACGTTATATTTTATTGGTTTATAACTCTCAAAACTAAACTAAAAGTGTAATATAAAGAATTAATAAAATTTTAAGATATTAATATTTAATTTAAAACCAGAAATCTTATTATAATCAATTAAGTAAGGGAATTTTTTATTTTTACATTGTCGATTATAACCGCATGATGTCGTATAGTTGATATATGTAGTTAAAGATAAAATATTATACTGTTGGACCACTTTTTGTATGATATAAATTTGACTAAAATCCAGTTTTAGTTGAAATGAATATTCATTTATAATTTCAAGGGTATTTTTCAGTTTTGTCATATTATCTTCAAATCAATTAAACTAAAATATTTTGGAAGAACCCACCGATATGGGAACAATATAACCCACCGTTATGGAAGCAATAGTGTTTGTCCAACAGTTTTGCATTGCTATTATCACACTACACTAGTACATTCTTTAACATTTCTCTATATTGTGAAATATAAAATTAATTATTTTAATTTTATGAAATGGTTCGGCTTTGTATTTAACAATGAACCAAATCATAATCTGTAAACTAACTGTACTATTTTGGTTCATTGTTAAAATATATTAGGTAGTTTACCCCCACGATAAAATGATTATTAAGTAAATATATTAGAGTTTTAGCTGCAAAATGTATTGTATTATTCTCAAAAGTCCAAAATATTACGAAATATGTAATATTTATTTTAATCTATTCAAACCAACAATTTTTTTTGTAATAAATAAAATATTAGAAATGATTATGAAGTATATACATTGTAGTTTTAGTTACAAAATGTATTGTTTTATTATCCAAGATCTGAAATATTACAAAACATGTAATATATTTTTTATTTTATTCGTATCCGTGATTTGAGGTATTAAAATTAGTTTTATCCTTAAAATGATTGAAAACTTTAAGTTCTTTTCTAAGTTAAATAAAAAAATCATACACATCTTTGTGAATATTTTGTGAAGATGAGTGAGCCGTCTTAGACCAAAAGTTTTTAAAATTGATTGACCAATTATCCTTCACTAAACCATGTATTTGAATATTCTATAAGATAATTTATTTTCTTAAATGATATATATATAGAAAAGTTTCCCAATATTTGATCAAATATTGGGAAACTTTTGTATGACGATGACTCGATTTCCATAAATACAAAAGTTTCCCAATATTTGATCATTTTCTTCTCATTCGAGTATGGCCCAATTCAGTATTAAATAAATATTATTGGCATTGCTTACTGATTTTTATCGAATGATCACGATTTCGATTTAGGAACCTATATATCGCCGGCGATTTGGGGAGATGAGAAGTCTAGCTCTTATTCTTGTTTGGAAAGTGGAAGCGAGTCCAAATTTAAGTAAGAAGAGAGACGTAGAAGTAAAAAAAGCGAGATCTATTGTATTTTGCATGTGGACAACATTTCTTATCCACCAAAGTTCGAATTTGTTGTTTCAAATGTTGACAACATTTTTTATACAACCAAAATTTTACAACACTGAAATCAACAAAAAAGAAAAAAAAATGTTACAAAATAAATTATATATTTCCTCAAATGTTCAGCGTTTGGAAAGTTTTTCTCCATAAAATTTTAACAACCAGAAAAGGTGAAAAACTAAGGTTACGCAATTTTTCAGATTGTGGGATGATTGGCATAAAAATTCTCGGGTTAGAGCATACCCTGCAGAATTCCATAGAGGCATGGACATTCTCTCACCAAAAAAAAAAAAAACGCATACCATCTGAAACAGATAAAGCGTAAGAGATGACATATGTACAAGAAATTCATATCCATGAATTAGGAACGATCCACCTATGTTGAGTTAAAAATTTACACCTTGAGGCGCTTAGAGAAGCCTGAGTTCGTAGGCAGCTTCAAAGCTATTTACATAAGAGTAAAAAAAATGTGATCCACCATAAGTCCATAATTCATTTTTAAAACTCCAAAACTGATTAAAATTTTGTAAGAAACGATGAACAGCTTGATCCCTTTTTCAGAACTGAAGAGGGTTAGGTAAGGTCAGTGAAAAACAAATCAAGCAGAGGGGCTTGGGTTAAGAGCTATACATTTCCGGGTAACACGCTTTATTTGGACAAAAAGGCTGTTATTGGGAGGTGAGGTAGGATAAGTGTTCATTTCCGCTCAATGGCTTCTGCTGGCAAGTTTAAATCTAGTAAGGTGGTTTGGCTGTTTCTGTAACTTCCTTCTATTCTGGCACGCTTATTGGAAGAGCAACTTGTGTCTTCCGAGTTTCCAGATCCCAAAGCTTGATCGAGCCTGGACGTCCATCCTGTATTAAAGAGTTGGTTAGTAAGATTACCGGTAAATCTCCAACAAAATGATGTGAAGTTTAAAGATTTACCGCTTGTACCACAATCCGAAGACTGACATATTTCACCAACAGCTTCCTTTGAATTCTGAGAACTATAAAAGTCAGATGCTCGTTCTATGCCATTTGATCTATATGGAGTAATGTTGTGGATGCCAAGTTGCAGAGAACCCAGCAAGTCATTTTCAATGCATTCATACCTGCAATAAACAAAATTTCTTGACTTGTCAGTTTCAATATACGTTTAGCATTTTTTGATGTCTTTTAGATTATTAACTAACTACTAAACTAACATTTTTTTGCAGAGGGTATCGACCGCAACCGACAAATTGATGACTTGAATCCTTATCTGCATGACCTTATCATCAGCAAATTGATCAAAGGGTTCCTCCAAGAACTTAGAAAGTTTCTCAACATTAGCCTCAAGCTGCTGCTGCTGATCCTCAAACAGATTTTGTTTTATTTCTCTTTCCTCAGTGCTCATCTCATCTTTAAACAGTTCATCTCCAAACATGTAAAATGCAAAAGGGTATGAATATGAAATAACTCGTCTTGATCTAAATAACCGGTGGAGTCCATTGGTAGCCCAGCTGAAGTCTTTAAGTTGTAACTCCCTCTTTTCTGAAAACGACACCTTTTTACGAATACTATAACTAAGCTCAGCCTCTAGCTTGGAGGAGTCAGTATGTGCTTTGTACCGGTTATGATAATGCATATACCGTTCGAGATCCCTTTTTGCTCTCTCCATATGTTTCTCTTTATCTTCTTGGAACCGACCACAACTATGACCCGAAATTCTAGACCAAGTGTGATCTCTTCCCGTAGCTCCACCACACAACCAACTGTAAGAAGTAACAACCAAACAAGAGATTCATCACTACTTTACATATGTTCACTACAATGCAGAAACGAAAAAAGGAGAAATAAGGCTAATTTTCTTACCAAAAAGATTGTCGACAAAGACAAGTCACGAGATTGCATCCACCATTCTTTTCAACGGGCTTGTTACATTTGGGACACGGCTTTGTGTGAACAGTTATCCAATTAACTGTCTCGGACTCATCATAGCACTTCTTTCTCCATAGCTCCCACATCACACAAGAGCAAGGGGAGTGCGCTTGAGATGAACAACTAAAACAGAACTGCAAACCACATGAGCATTCAACCTCACAAAGCTCATCATCCTCAACACGTATTGCATTCCCACAATGCGGAGTACTCGGACACCACTTCACCATTTTGTTATCTTCGATATACGACTCAAGAAGAAAACGATCAAACTTCTCAGCTAAATCTGGTTGGCTTTTACTAACTAGAGTCCTGACAACATCTTCATCGCAAATAGCATTACATTTATGCGCCATACATGTAATCCTTTTGCTCTGACCTTCATTTATCTTTACAGTAAAATGCCCAGCCCAACCTAAACCAACAAATTAAACAGTCAATGCCGAATAACAGCTAGCTTAACTATACAACAGAAGGATGAGACTCACAAGTATTGCAAAAGCTATGGCCACAATCCATCCTTGTCATCTGATAACCCGGTACATCTTCTATACAGATATCACAACTCAACATCGAAGAACGAGAAACCGAAGAATCACAACTTTGATTTTCAAGAAATGTAAGACCAGCACCAGAAAACAAACTATCCTTCCCTTTCTCAACAAGCACAGCAAACAACTTCTCAACATCCCATCGATAATGTATAAGAAGAGTCCGAGCATGGTGCTCCTTAAGCGATAACAATTCCATCACTCTCCGCAAATCCTCCCTCTACATTGATCAAAATAAAACAATTTCACTTACTTTAAGCCTTCAAATTGAAACCAAATAAAAACATAGTCAACAGAAACGAACAATTTTGCGACTAGCTGCAGCGACTACTTAAAATCGCAGTCGCAGCGGCAGTCGCAATGCGATTATGAAACGAACATGGCCATAATCAAAAGAAGATCTTTTTCACTAACCTGTGCTGCCAAAAGTGATTCCTTCGTAATAACCTACAAAATGAAGATTATGACAGATTTTTCCAAAAATTAACCAAACCAGAGAAAGAAATTCGTGAGAGATTTTATGAGGAAAAACCTTGACAGTATTAGCTCTGGAAGAAAGAGGTTGCAAAAAGGATTGATCATTATCAATTCCGTTGAGAGATTCCTGATCGGAGGAGTAATAGTAATCGTCTTCCTCGCCGCTTAAATTATCATCCATTGATCAATTTTTTTTGGAGGAGATTAGCAATTTTTGAATTTAATCATATTGAAATTGCTGACATATGATCTATAGAACGACCGAGGTGATTAAGTACGAGAGTGATAACGAAGGAAGAGAAAGATGACGGAGAATTAGAGACACGAAGGATGTTGATTTATATTTTCCGGCGAGATCAAAGAGAAGTTTAAAAGGACTGAACAACCGGAGGAGCAGAGAGAGACGCATTCATAGAGGCTGATATTGAATCGCACAAATATGTATGTATTGACGACATCGTTTTTTACGGACCAAACGGCACCGTTTTATTTAAGAAAACACAAAAAAAAAAAGGAATATTTAAAACAGTTTTATTAACTTTTTTTTATGATATACAATTAGTGTTTCAAAGATTAATTGTATTGAAAAAGCTAAATTTATACAAAGATAAAAAAAAAACTTTGGAAAAGTTAATCAGATGTTATATAAATTAGGTGAAATGACCAGAAACGTACAAAACTTTTTTTTATTACTACCATATTTCGGATATATTTTTTATACCCACCCAGCGTGTCTCTGTTAAACGTTACAGGAAAAAACGTAATTACAAAGAATGTCACTGCCACGTCAACAAAGCCGCGTCGCCACGTCAGAAATCGCTGACATGTATTAATGAACTCAGCCGTAAAGCGATACAGCGGCAGTGACGGCTAAGTTACGGTATGTTGCGACTGATTTAAGGAAAATGGCTGAGTTATGAGCAAACGGTTGACTTACGAGTGTAACACAGCCTGGAGTTACGGCTGACTTACTGAAATCTGTCTGAGTTATGAGAAAATGGCTGCCTTTTGAGCATAACCCAGCCTAAGTTACGGCTGAGTTTTCACCCGATGGTTGATTTGTCTAATTTTTTGCTGAGTTATTGCTTCGACACGGCTGACTTAACTTTCTCCGGCTGGCTGAGTTATCAAAGACGGCTTAGTTCAAGTGTCATAAATCAGCCGTAATAAGGTAGGTTAACGGAAATCTCGGCCTAATTACGGCTGACTTAGTAGCGAAAGATTAATTACTAGAATAGCATGCAATGACGGTCGACTTATTAAACTACACGGCTGAGTTAAAGATTTTTGGTTGAGTTACGACATTAAACGGCTGAATTTGGCTACCGTTTTTTCGTTTTTTAACTACTGTAATAGTATTCATGTTGCGGCTGAGTTAAAATTTTGTTTGATGGCTGGTTTAATTAGGCTGATTTATATTTTCGTTTGGTAGCTTACTTGCCACTTCATCAATTAAAAAATGACGTCGGATACAACATTCCATGTCATCATCATCAAGGGAAATACGAAAGGTCTTTTTTCGACTCGTCTTCTTCTTCATCTTGTCGATCTTCACCTGTGTTTTTCACATAACCAAAACTTAAATTTCACTCGACTCGTCATCGTCTTACTCCTTCTTCTTCATTTTCGTTCATCCTTATCCCGATATGACTAATCCGGTTCCGGTAATTGTTGTTTCCGGTAATTGAGTAAAGAAACACAAATATGTATATAACACCGACGATAGAGGGTGTAGAGTTGTGCAGATAGATGCGGAAATAACGCACGAGAAGCTTGTGAAGTTGGTGCTTGATGACTACGGATTGAAGGAGTTGAGCCATCCGTTAAAGCTGAGCTACGCATGTTCTCGATGTAAACAAGTTGGGCATAATGCTAAAACTTGTCCGACGTAGTATTGTTTGCAGGAATTTTCTTTTCGGATAATGGCGAACATGACTGTTGGTTTATGTGTTTTATGTCTATTCGTGACAAATCAACCATAATGTTATCCTAACTCAGCCGCAATGCTCCAATAAATCAGCTGTGAAACACTATAACTCAGCCGTGATATATAAAAAAACTGAAAATAATAATTAATAAAAGAAAAATTAGAAAATAAATTAATTAGCAAACAGAAAATAACAGTTAATGCTAATATTAAATTTTATCATTTAGTACATTGAAGATAAGTCAGCCGTGAAGCATTATAACTCAGCCGTAATATGTAAATTTACGCAACCTTTCGTCTTCCGTGAAGCATTATAACTCAGCCGTGACATATAAATTTACGCAACCTTTCGTCTTCCGTGAAGCATTATAACTCAGCCGTGACATATAAATTTACGCAACTTTTCGTCTTCCGTGAAACATTATAACTCAGCCGAAAGTTAATGACATGGCGTTAATTTTATTTCTTTTAGTGACGTGGATTAAAAAAAAATAAAAAAATCTCAATTAAAAAAACTAATCAAGGGTGTTAATTGTAATTTACACAAAGACACTAAACATATGAGTAATTTAAAAACAATGTATGATATGCTAGTAATATTCCAACCGTTCTATAACATCTGAGTAAATATTTCAAAAACTTTTATTATGAATAAATAACGTTTACAACTTTTTTTAATAAAAAAATTGTTTACAAAGGAACAAAATACAAATGTGGAAAAGATTGGATTTTACGATTTTTAACCAAACCAAATCTAAATTGAAAATTTAAAAATAATGACAACCAAATAGGCTTTTAGAATTAGACTAAACAATAACCAAACTAATCATTTATTTCAGTTTGGTTTGGTTCGGTTTCTTGGGTTACGGTTTTTTGCCCATCCTTAGTAACGTAGCGGAAAGCTTTTAGGAATAGATTACGAAAGTAATCTTGAGTATCAATGGACGTACCATCTATGGAAGAAACTTAGGTAGAGTCATGAGATTTGAGAAGAGATACATACACCATTTTAGTAAGCTAGTCTTTTCTTAGCTTGTTCCATCTATGGAAGAAACTTCATTTGGATCATGTAATGTGTTTAATACTGCGATTCAATTGGTTCAACCGCTTACTAGTGTATCATAGAAGTTGACGAAAAAATTGGTAGTTAAAAGTGTTTGGAAAATAAATTTCTAAAACTTAGAAAGATAATGCACATGACTAACGTAAAATCTTTGAGATCTCATTCATTGTGTGAAACGAATGAGTTCTTAATTAGATAAATACATGAGATACATTGTTAAAAAGATTATTAGATTCAAAGTTGGGCTTAACCGTTTGGTCATGTAATCATAAAAAGTGAGATAAGATAGATACATTGATGACTTCGTTGAGAATTCTCTTATGACACGATGCACTTGCTTTGATGGATAAAACAAGCTCGCTAAAGCCGTTCTAGTAACATGGTATTATAGATGTACCTTTACACTAAATAATATTCATGAAACTCGGTATATTCGTATTTTGTATGAAATGATGTTATGTTTATATCAAGATTTAATCACAAATAATATCTACAATTAGATTAACAATCGATAATTAATATCAAAACTTTTAAAGAAATGTCTTCATGGAATATGAATAAGAAAGAAACTCTTTTAGAGATATAGGATCATGAGATGGTCGTCGATACCTTTTATTCATTCCACGAGTTATTCAAGTGATCTTTGAACATGATAAATCAAACCATTTATTTGTCAAAGAAACATTATCGTCGACAATATATATATGTTGTATATCGTTTTGTAAAACAAATTTAGTATTTATATAGATTTATTTTTTAAAATTTAAATTATTAAATTTATGAGCAAAACCAATTTGCTAACTATTTTAATACGACACTAATAAAGGACCCATAAGATGCTGTCAAAAAAAAAAACACACGACAATAACAAAAAAAGAAAAGAAAAAGATTCAAGTGCCACTATTGTTTCCTGTATAGAAGGATCTAGAAGATCCTTATGATCAAAGGAAGATATTATGAATATATTTTAGAGATATGTATATATCTTATATGATTCTATTAGTTAGATAATTAGGTTAATTCATTTCCTATATAAATGTATCTTTCATGTACATTCATTCTTATGAGAGTAAATATAACTTCTTCTTATTGCTAAACTCTCATCACGTTATCATGGTATCAGAGCCACAATGATCTAACGATCGGCTCCGTTCCTGTTTCTAAGCCAAGGGCTTCTTCTTCTTATTTTAATTTTATTTAAGCTAAAAATGCTTTCAACATTCAAGTTCATCACGAACCTCTGAATCTAAGCCAAAGCGCTTCCATAATTCAAGTCTAACCATAGACCTCTGAATCAAGCCAAAGTGTTTCTTTTCATTTTTCTAAAAAAAAAAAAAAAAAAAAAAAAAAATTATTTCTTCTCGTTTTCTTAAGCTTCAAATCTCATTGTGTTCAAAGCATTAATGTTTCTTAATTATTTCTAAAACTTTTCAACGTTTCAAAAAAAAAAAAAAAAAAAAAAAGTCTTCTTCATCAGAAAAAAAAAAAAAAAAGGTCAAGCACCTCCATCAGCTCTCTTCGTCAACGGTGTTCAGATCTGACTGCCACATCAAATATGCTCCCTTACTCGAGTTTTGTCTCATAGCCAAGTCAGCTCACCACCGCTGCCATCTGTGCGTCCAACCGCATGATCCAAAGCGCTTCATCATTCTCTCAGATCTATCATCATCTATGGTCAATCTCAAGCCGTAGTTTCCGTCTTTACTCCATCACCACCTTGAGCTTGAGGGGGCGTATAGAAGGATCTAGAAGATCCTTATGATCAAAGGAAGATATTATGAATATATTTTAGAGATATGTATATATCTTATATGATTCTATTAGTTAGATAATTAGGTTAATTCATTTCCTATATAAATGTATCTTTCATGTACATTCATTCTTATGAGAGTAAATATAACTTCTTCTTATTGCTAAACTCTCATCACGTTATCATCCTGAACTTCCCTACTGCACAAGCCCTACGTGACAATCAAAACGCTCACAAGAGAGAAAGTCAACAAATAAAACGCTTCAACCAACAACGTGACATTCAAACACAGCCGCTTTCTTGCACCGCCACCAAAACCACATTGCTGCTTCTAGGTTCTACTAGTATCGCTTTAGCCTTGAAGCTGTTCAAATCAACAACGCGAGATTAGGGTTATGTCGTAGCTATAACTAATCCGCAATGCTTAATCGTGACCGTTCATCTTATAATATATATATATGCCTTGGTTCCACATTATTAT